GCCACATGGAGGAAAATCTATTCCCAAGTGGGCCGGACCGGAAAAATCATGGTATATATATAACTTAAAAACAACAACTTCAGATTGTTTTCTTTGTTTTAATACGATCAACATACAACATAAAGCTGGAGCCTGAGGACAGTGTGTCCAAAATAGTATAAGCACAACATCACTATTAATCATAAAACACGTCAAGTTTATTTGAAAAAGAAAAAGAAAAAGAACACACAAACACACAATGCCTCAGTGATTAACAGAACTGTTTCACAGATCACATAACTATATCAGGTTGTCATTTCTCAGGCAGAAATGTAGATAAAAATAATGAAATCCTGTTCCCCAAACAAGTGCAAGAACCACAGAGTCAAGAATAGGTTAAATATACAAATAAAATAAAATCAATTAAAAACAATAGCACATCAACATAAAAACATATAAACATAAATCTGAAAGCGTTGCTCAAACTCCCGTAACAGTCCCGTTATTTTATCTTTGAACCGCTTCATGTCTGCCACATGTTGGGTCGCGCACACATTTTTCAGACAGGGGAAGTGAGCTGCATCACCACCGGCGAGTTGCGTCTCCCACAATGACAGCTTCAACTTGAAAGAACGTATGCTGTCATAATACTGCGTGACAACTTTGTTGCGCCCTTTCAGCTGTTTGTTCAAGTTATTCAGGTGCTCTGTAACATCCACCATAAATGCAAGGTCCTGCATCCATTCTGCGGAATGAAATTCTAACACTGGTTTGCCCTTTTCTTCCATGAACTGTTCCATTTCTTCTCGTAAATCAAAGAAACGCCTCAGCACAGCACCTCGGCTTAACCATCTTACCCCAGTGTGGTATGGCAGGCCATAGATGTGGTCTTTCTCTCTGAGAAGGCTGTCAAACTGACGGTGATTCAGGCTTCTGGATCGGATGAAATTAACAGTTTGGATGACCACCTTCATGACGTTATCCATCTTTAATGACTTGCAACACAAAGCCTCCTGGTGCAAAATACAGTGAAAAGTCAAAAAATCACGTCCTCCATTTGCAGATTGCACTTTCTCTCTGAACTTTGTCACAACGCCTGCTTTTTTCCCGATCATTGAGGGCGCACCATCTGTAGCCAGGCTGACAGCGCGGGACCAGTCCACTCCGACCCTGTCCAGCGCGCCGACGAGTGCGGTAAAAATATCAGCTGCTGTCGTTGTATCTGTCATCGGCACGAACTCCACGAACTCCTCGGTGACGGTCAATGTGTCATCAACTCCGCGGATGAAAATGGCCAGTTGTGCAACATCTGTAATGTCCGTGCTTTCATCAATTGCAACTGAAAACGCAATAAATGACTTTACTTTTTGCTTCAACTGGCTGTCCAAATCCACTGAAAGATCGGAAATCCTGTCTGCAACTGTGTTTCTTGTCAGGCTGATATTTGCAAAAGCCTGCCGCTTTTCAGGGCACACAATCTCCGCTGCCTTCATCATGCATGTTTTTACAAATTCACCCTCACTAAATGGTTTTGAAGCCACTGCGATTTCATTAGCAATGAGGTAGCTAGCTTTCACTGCAGCGTCACTGATGTCTCGGCTGTGAGTAAACACAGACTGCTGTTTCTTCAGACCCGCCAACAGTTCATTCACCTTCTCTCATCTCCGCTGTCCTTGAAAGTTGTCATATTTGTCGGCATGAAGACTCACATAGTGGCGACGAAGGTTATATTCTTTCAGCACTGCAACATGCTCTGAACACACCAAACATACAGCTTTCCCATTCAATTCCGTGAATAAATAGGATGACCATTTTTCTTGGAACACTCTGCACTCTGCGTCCACTTCTCTCTTTTTTGACAGAGACATATTGGGGCAATGAGGGTGCCAAAGCACATAATGTTAAAAGTAGAAGCCGTAATAAATATCGCGGGCAAAACAAAGTAGCTCATTGGCTGCACGTGCTTGACCTACTTGCTCTGCCCCGGTATAAACAGTTTGCTTGCTTAACACAATTGCTATTGCGCCATCCAGTGGACGCAATTGGAACAGCAGTTTATTTTTTATTGAAAAATTGCAGCGCATTTTTATACTTTACAAAATTATTATTATTATTATTTTTTTTTATTTTTTTATTTTTTTTCAAAATCATCTCGCGGGCCGGATTAAACCCGTTTGCGGGCCTGATCCGGCCCGCGGGCCGGACGTTTGACACCCCTGATCTAAACAAATAACTTAAAAAAAATAAAATGTATTGATATATTTCCACAAATATTTGTTCATGCAATTAATCCTTTTATAATAATTTATGCACTATTTATCAAGCGTTGGTGCTTATGTTTTCTGCACCTTGTGGGTTGATATGCGTCTGATTCATATGCTAAAGGAGACGTCCGGCAAAGTTCTGGGCATCTTTGAAAAACACTATGAAAAATCTGGGAAACAAGGTCTGCTATTCATAGCTGACTTTGAAAATGCTTTTGATAAAGTACGACTGGAGTTTATATATAAATGCCTGGAACATTTCAATTTAGGAGAATCTCTTATAAAATGGGTTAAAATCATGTATAGTAACCCTAGGTGTAAAATAGTAAATAATGGCTATTTCTCAAAGTTTTAAACTGTCAAGAGTCCCTCCTTTAGCTCAGTTGGTAGAGCATGGCGCTTGCAACGCCAGGGTTGTGGGTTCGATTCCCACGGGGGGCCAGTATGAAAAATGTATGCACTCACTAACTGTAAATCGCTCTGGATAAGAGCGTCTGCTAAATGACTAAAAATGTAAAATGTAAAGAGGAGTAAAACAAGGTTGTCCACTATCGGCATATCTATTTATTGTGGCCATCGAAATGTTAGCTATTAAAATCAGATCCAACAATTAATATCAAGGGATTAGAAATCCAGGGCTTAAAAACAAAGGTGTCATTGTACGCTGATGATTCATGTTTTCTTTTAAATCCACAACTTGGATCCCTCGACAGCCACATAGAGGATATAGATACATGTTCTAACCTCTCTGGATTACAACTACATTTTGATTTTGTACTATATTACGTATTGGATCACTAAAAAATGTAACTTTTACATTACCGTGTAGTTTACCAATAAAATGGTCTGATGTGGATACTCGGTTTACATAACCCGAAATAAATAAATGATCTCACTCCAATACATTTTAATAGAAAGTTAGCAAAAATAGATAAGATCTTGCTACCATGGAAAGGTAAATACCTGTCTGTTTGTGGAAAAATCACCCTGATTAACTCTTTAGTAATATCCCAGTTTACCTATTTGCTTATGGTCTTGCCTACACCTAGCGAACATTTATTTATTTATTATTATATGAGAAAAAAATATTCCATTTCATTTGGAATGGCAAGCCAGACTAAATTAAACAGGCCTATTTATATAATGAATATGAATTATTAGATATTAAAGCATTAGACCTCTCACTAAAGGCTTCAGTCATACAAAAGTTATACTTAAATCCAAACTGGTTCTCTAGCAAATTAGTAAGAATGTATCACCCTATATTCAAGAATGGCCTTTTTCCCTTTATTCAGATTACAACCTCTCACTTTGTTATTTGAAAAGGAAATAATCACTATTTCTAAAACAAACCATAGAAATGTGGTTTCAATTTCGTCCACCAGAAACGATAGAACAAATAATACAACAAATATTGTGGTTAAACTCAAATATACTAATTGATAATAAAACATTTTTATTTTATTTTTTTTTTATTTTAAGAAAGGTATAATCTTCGTAAATGATATCATCGGTAGGACTGGTGGAGTTATGGCGCACATGCAGCTAACAAAAACATATGGAAATGTCTGCTCTACCCAAAATTACAACCAACTAATTGCAGCATTACTGCAGAAATGGAAGAGGAAAGTGGAAGGGGGAAAAAGTAAGGAACTTGTCTGTTGGCCCTGCATTAAAGACCATAATTGGTTAAAGAAAATTGTGATAAATAAAAAAAGTATACCAGTTTAATTTAAGGACCCCCAAATTGACAGCCTTACCATATAGATTACAAAATAGAGATTTTTTATGTACCGATCCCATGGCACGTGGTTTATGAACAGATACGCAAAACGACACCAGATTCAAAACTTAGAATTGTTTAATTTTAATTATTATACAAAACTCTTGCAACCAATAGAATGTTATTTATATGGGGGATACAACCTTCCCAGCTCTGCAGATTTTGCTGCGAAGAGACAGCATCATTAGATCATTTTGTTTTGGTACTGTCCATATGTAGCTTGTTTTTGGTCACAGGTCCAGGAATGGCTGAAGAATTGCAATATTTACCTGGAGCTAACCCTGCAGATAGCATTACTGGGTGATCTGAAAAGTCATAGTCAATCGATCAATAATATAATAATACTTTTAGCAAAAATGTTTATTTTCTATTTACAATCTGTAGAAACAATGAGAATAGAAAGGTTCAGAACTTTTGTGAAACATCACAGCACAGTTGAAAAATGTCTAAAGCGCGTTCTTGCAGATGAGCAGGGACCATGGGCATCTTTCTTTTGGTGTTTTTCAGAGTCAGTAGAAAGGTCTCTTTAGTGTCCTAAGTTTTCATAACTGTGACCTTAATTGCGTACCGTCTGTAAGCTGTTAGTGTCTTAACGACCGTTCCACAGGTGCATGTTCATTAATTGTTTATGGTTCATTGAACAAGCATGGGAAACAGTGTTTAAACCCTTTACAATGAAGATCTGTGAAGTTATTTGGATTTTTACGAATTATCTTTGAAAGACAGGGACATTTCTTTTTTTTTTCCTGAGTTTATATATATATATGTATATACTTTTTTATTTTTTTAATACAAAAAAAAGGTTATCATATGTATTCCCAACAACACTAACTACTATTCTTTCTCAAAGCAGAAGGTGCCTCCTATGTTGGACGACAGAGACGCATCTAAAATTGATTATTCTCCATGGTTGGGTCCTAATGCTGTAATCATAATACCTACTAGCTCTCTCTCTATCTCTCTGAAGCTTCTACATGATTGAACTGCTCCGTGAGCTGATTGTTTCTAGCTGGTGGCTGAACTGTCCAGCTGTGTGATTTGATCCTCCTGAGCTCAGCTGTGATTATATAGACTGACAGGGCTCTCTGTCGTACAGTCCAGGCTGCCCACCCTAACGCCTTTAGCTGTCGGATCCTTGTGAGCGGTTAGATCATATATGGAGAATCTCAATTGCATACTCCTTGCGTCCTCTCCTCGACTCCTCTCTCCTCGCGTCCTCTTTCCTCTCTCCTCGCCTCCTTCTCAAAACCCATTGGATGAGAAAGCCAGAGGTCCCTTACCTTCTCATAAATGGGTTTTGAGAAGGACGCGAGGAGAGAGGACGCGAGGAGAGAGGAGAGAGGACGCGAGGAGAATGCAATCGAGATTCTTCCATAGATGGACAGACAGACAGACAACACACACAGACAGAAAGGACAAACTGGCACTTGTCTAGTCCTCTCTCTCTCTAGTCCCTAATTTAGCTAGCTAGTAGTTACCACACAGATTATTGCCAATCCTCCTCAGTTTTACCCACCGTAGACTGTAACAATAGGTCTTATCGGATTGAGTTCTGATTAGTTTTCAGGTGAAAAATGAATTCAAAGAATTGATGATGACGACTGAATATGTGACCAATGATCCCTTTAAACCTTTAAGATCCACTATCAATGTTTAGCCCTCCAAAGGACAAAAAAACACGACTCCATTACTGTGCAATAACAATCTTTACTACTACACACAGGTTTAAGGGCAACTTCATGAAACGTGGTTGATAGCGAATATGTTGGTTCAGTTGTTAACTGGTACTTTGATGGTGGGTGAGGTGAGGCTTCCCCCTTGCTATGTAAAGTGCTTTGGGTGTCTAGAAAAGTACAATCTATTATTATTATTATTATATTATTATTTTTATTATTATTAATGAAATGTAGGCTAATGGTTGCATGTTGTTGTGTTTACAGAGAGAGTGGTGCCCTACCTCAGCCGTCCAGCCGTGCCTGCCCTGCTCCTCCCCAGTGGAACATACCTGTTCAGCCCCAACGCCATCTGCCAGTCAGTACCCCCTGCTCTGTCATCTATACTAATAATGTATTCCTCCACTGTATAGGCTTAGACATTCACACTTAAGCCTTACTCTGTAGGCGGTCCTTAAGATCGTCATGGATATGATAGCTGATTTAATGTTGTAGCTGTGCGATTACCTGGTCTGTGTCGTTGTAGAGGTTCCCTCAGTCATCCAGTCTTTAATCCGCGTGTCCTTCCTTAGGTACCTGATGGAGGTGAATGGACAGGGATCCAGTGATCTCGTCAACCAGTGGCTGGAATGGGAAGCTACAGAACTACAGGTAAGGATGTCTGATAAATCATCAGCCATGATGCTCCCATCTATAGTGACTTCCTGGAAATCATCAGCCATGATGCTCCCATCCATAGTGACTTCCTGGAAATCATCAGCCATGATGCTCCCATCCATAGTGACTTCCTGGAAATCATCAGCCATGATGCTCCCATCCATAGTGACTTCCTGTGAATCATCAGCCATGATGCTCCCATCCATAGTGACTTCCTGTGAATCATCAGCCATGATGCTCCCATCCATAGTGACTTCCTGGAAGTGTACAACAAGAAGCCATGTATATTAATTGAACAGACAAGTCACATTCTGTTTGAATCTTTGCAGATGGTGTCTAACGCTTGTTCTGTGTTGCACAGGTGTTTGTTTTATAATCTATTATATGATATTAATAAAGTGTTGTATTATTATTGCCTCTCCAGCCTGCACTGACGCAGGCCCTCCACATGGTGGTGCTGCAGGGGAAAAGAGCAGAAACTACCAGTGTTCTACAAGGACCTCTCAGCTACCTGGACCAGAGCCTGAGCAAGAGGAGCACGCTGTTCCTCACTGCTGTACGTCAACTCAACACACACACACACACAACTTCACACACGCCTTCACAACTCAACACACACCTTCACACACACCTTTTTAAATCTGAGTGGAAAACACACACATGAATGTCAAATATAGAGTCCAATGACATTCACTTCTGCTTCTGCTTGCATTTTTGTGTATATGCAGTTACTGTAAAGCACTTACTGACAATTGTTGATGTAAAAACGGCTTTATGAGTACATTGGAATGATTGGTTGAACTGGGCTGTGTTTCAGGAGATGGTTTCAGTGGTAGATGTGGTTCTTTGGGCAACTCTCTACCCCATCCTGTCTGACAGCAGTCTGGTATCAGGTGAATTATACTTTTTTTTTTTTTTTAAATGAGCAATTGATTTAGTTTGTGTTATATAGTGGTGGAGAAAGTACCCAATTATCATACTTGAGTAAAAGGTAAAGAAACTTTAATAGAAAATGATTCAAGTGAAAGTCACCCAGTAAAATACTACCTGAGTAAAAGTCTAAAAGTATCTGGTTTTAAATATACTTAAGTATCAAAAGTAAAAGTATGAATCATTTCAAATTCCTTATATTAAGCAAACCAGACGGCACCATTTTCCTGTTTTTTTTATTTATTGATGGATAGCCAGGGGCACACTCTGACACTCAGACATCATTTACAAATGAAGCATTTGTGTTTAGTGAGTCCAACAGATCAGGGGCAGTAGGGATGACCAGGGATGTTCTCTTGATAAGTGTGTGAATTTAACCATTTTCCTGTCCTGCTAAGCATTTAAAATGTAATGAGTACTTTTGGTTGTCAGGGAAAATGTGGTCCTCTGTAGCTCAGCTGGTAGAGCACGGCGCTTGTAACGCCAAGGTAGTGGGTTCGATCCCCGGGACCATACACAAAAATGTATGCACGCATGACTGTAAGTCGCTTTGGATAAAAGCGTCTGCTAAATGGCATTATTATTATTATTATTATTATTATTATTATTATTATTATTATTATTATTATTATAAAAAGGTATGGAGTAAAAAGTACATTATTTTCTTTAGGAATGTAATGAAGTAAAAGTTGCCAAAAATATAAATAGTAATGTACAGATACCCCCAAAAACTACTTAAGTAGTACTTTAAAGTATTTTTACTTAAGTACTTTACACCACTGGTGTTACACTAAACTTCTGTCAGTGTATGTGTTTAACCGTGGCTTCCATTCCTCTCGGCCTTTTACTCTAGGTAATCAGACGGAGCTGCAGCGCTGGTTTGAGCGTGTGGGTGTGTTGTCAGCCTGTGAGTCTGCAGCCCAGACAGTACTACAGGGGAAGGGACTGAAGGCTGAGTCTCTGAAGACCTACATGCAGAGACAGCCAGCCCCACACCATGGTCAGGGACAGGGTAGAGGCACACAGCCATGCAACAGCCCTGAGGTAAACTAATACATTTAGTGTTTAATTGGTTTTAACACCAATCCTGGGAAACAACCGTACCATACAATAGTACAGTTTGGTACCATTTTTGAGGTTGCAGATGGGACAGTTTGGACATGTAAGATTTATTTGACAATTTAAAAACAATTTGGACATGATTAGATTTATTTGACAATTTTTAAAACAATTTGGAGATTAGATTTATTTTACAATTTAAAAACACAATTCACACTCCTAATGTAATTGTCATTGAGGTTAGCACAAAGTATTTTTTCCATTGTGGTCCTCTTTGGCCGACAATACATAGAGAGGAGGTGAGAGAGTAGCCAAACTCCAAATCCACCCCTAGTCCTATTCTCTCCATCTCTCTCTCCCTCTCGGTCTGCCTCTCACTCTAACTCTGTCTCTCTCGCTCTCTCTCCCTCTCGGTCTCCCTCTCACTCTAACTCTCTTTCTCTCTCTCGCTCCCTCTCCCTCTCCCTCTTCCTCTCCCTCTCTGTCTCTCTCGCTCTCTCTACACCTCTCTCTCCCTCACTCTCCCGCTCTCTCTGTCGTGTCTCTCGCTCTCTCTCTCTCCCTCTCCCTCAGATTCAGATTGCTTTATTGGCATGAAATACAATTTGTAGCTATTGGCAAAATAACTATAGTGGTACAGCATTTCAGTAAAACCGTACAATGCAATGAGGATAATGGAATCCAGTTCATTTCTGTAGTAATAATAATAGTACATATTATCATGTATACAGGTACAACACTACTGCTGTTGTATTGTGGAATCTTCAGTCGATACAGTTCATTAAAGAAATATAAGAATTATTTAAAAAAATAATAAAGCAGCTCATAAATGAGTCTCTCTATCTCTCTCCCTCAGCATTACAGTTTGATGATGGGACTTGAATGTGTTTTCTGTCCTCCAGGGTGATGATGGTGACCGTGTGCTGTCAGAGGAAGAGATCCTGTCTGCAGCAGTCACCTGGGGTAAAGGACTGGCAGACTTACCCATGGTCACAGAGCGACTTCACCCTATGTGAGTACACTGCATAATATCCAGTCCTAGGGTTCGCACGAGGTGCTTAAAGTACTTGCATTTGGCACTCTGAAATTCAAGTACTGGAATACCTTGAAAATCAGACATTTTCTCAAGTCGGTACTTGAAAAGAACTTGACTCCAAAATTAGAGAACAGATAATGATCAAATATGTTTATGAAAATATAAAAATGTATTGGTCTTGCGAGTTAAATTCCAGACAGACTACTGAGTTTTATTTCCTCACGTGTTTCGTGCTGTGGTTGCCAGGCGAGCTCGCTCATTCCACCCACACTGCCACTCAGCCAGGCAGGTACAGAGCTGACTGATTAGGCGCCGCCAAACGTCACATCGATAGATAAAATGGCCGGAAAAATGTAGATTCAACCTGCTTTTTGTGCTTATGGAACGTTTCTCGGATCTTTTATTTCAGCTCATGGAACATGGGACCAACACTTTACATGTTGCGTTTTATATTTTTGTTCAGTGTAGTTTACCCACCTTTATTTACCACTACATCACTGGACCCAACCAACCCACACTGTGTAAGGTGCAAAAAATGGGTCAGACTTTGACATTGTGAGCATGGGTGAGTCGGCCCTGAAGAGACCCATGAAGGGGGAAAGAAGCAACGCTGCATCCTGCGCTGGCGCCAGTTCTACATTGACTTTTTCTCTGCAACAACCTCCAGAGCCTTTTTTTGCCAATCGCCTCATTCGTAGGGCGCCCGCGATATTCCTCTTATGTGTTTATCAAGCGGCAGCCATGCTCCCTGCCGTTCTGGTGTCCTTTCACGTGCCGTTTTCCTAACACAGCCCCACCCGCCCATCTCCCGACTGGCGACACTAAAGCTGCCACAGTTGGAAGCAAGACGCTTTTTCGTAGCTATTGAGTAGTAGATTCCCAAATGCCCAATACAAACACTGTCATTAAGCTGGAATTGTGTAGTAATGCGAATAGGAAATGTGTGTTCACCAGTAAGCATGTCCCAAAACTCTTCTCATCACTACTCAAATTACTAAATCATCAGTACTGACTTAAGTTACCATTCATGTATGTAGTACATAAGTAGTGAAACAATGTATTATTGAGTAGAACTTGTAAGTTTTTTTTAATGCGTTTTTACCCCCATGAGGTTGTAGCGATATACTGCCATCTGGTGGCGACTAGAAACAATTGCATAAAATTAACTATTACAAATTGATGGTCCTTGAAAAGAAATATGAGTACTTTAAAAAGTACTTGAAAGTCCTTGAATTTGACTTGCCACTGTCTGTACGAACCCTGAGTCCCTATATTGTTCTTTATATAAGTATCTATATTGTTCTCTATAATAACAGTCCCTGTATTGTTCTCTATGATAACAGTCCCTGTATTGTTCTCTATAATAACAGTCCCTGTATTGTTCTCTATAATAACAGTCCCTATATTGTTCTCTATAATAACAGTCCCTGTATTGTTCTCTATAATAACAGTCCCTATATTGTTCTCTATAATAACAGTCCCTATATTGTTCTCTATAATAACAGTCCCTATATTGTTCTCTATAATAACAGTCCCTGTATTGTTCTCTATAATAACAGTCCCTATATTGTTCTCTATAATAACAGTCCCTATATTGTTCTCTATAATAACAGTCCCTATATTGTTCTCTATAATAACAGTCCCTATATTGTTCTCTATAATAGCAGTCCCTGTATTGTTCTCTATAATAACAGTCCCTATATTGTTCTCTATAATAACAGTCCCTATATTGTTCTCTATAATAACAGTCCCTATATTGTTCTCTATAATAACAGTCCCTCCAGGATTTCACAGGAAAATGGTTAATTTTGCGGCACCAATTCTGACATTTTGCATGGCAATATGCAATGAAAATGCGCTGATGAGAGAGAGTTTGTGCGATGATTGGTGGAAATTGCGAGCCCTCCTTTTTGTTATGCGGTGATGGGTCAGTTTTATGCGATAATATTGCGAAGACTTAACTGTTTTTATGCTGAAATAGTGCAGTGATTGGTCAAATTTGATTTAGCAGAAAAACTTTTGCGATTGCGCAATCCTGGAGGGACTGATAAAGGCCTACACAGTGCAGGGACAAAGTACCTGCTGATGATTTTCCTTCCTACCGGGTACTTCCACCACTCACCCAGGTCTGAATCACTCCTTGATTAGAATGAGGGAATGAAAACCAGAAGGGTTTCAGCCCTCCAGGACTGGCGTTAAATAGCTATGGTGTACAGGAAGTGTTATATCAGTCACAAAAGGACATACGGAGGAGGAACCTCCTACTGGCCAGTGCCTTACCGTACGTCAACAACGTCTATGTAGTATTTTACATTTTACATTTTAGTCATTTAACAGACGCTCTTATCCACAGCGACTTACAGGAGCAATTAGGGTTAAGTGCCATGCTCAAGGGCACACCGACAGATTTTTCACCTAGTCGGCTCGGGGATTAGAACCAGCGACCTTTCGGTTACTGGCACAACGCTCTTAACCAGTAAGCTACCTATTTTTGTTTGGTAGCATCAGCTGTACCTGCGCCAAAGCGCCAGTATGTTTAATCATATAGCTTGTTCAACAACTTCTTTTTAAAATAGTGAGCCAACATGTTTTCAGCACTTATGTCCCTGATTGATCAAAACACATTTTTCTCCTGCTCTCTCTTGTCCTAATGCAACAGACATATAGTGAGCAATATGTTTGGAACATCAAATCGCAATAAAATCGCAGTATCGAATCGCAATACATTGAGAATCGTGAGAATCGCAATACATATCGGTACCTACAGTTGAAGTCGGAAGTTTACATACACTTAGGTTGGAGTCATTAAAACTCGTTTTTCAACCACTCCACAAATTTCTTGTTAACAAACTATAGTTTTGGCAAGTCGGTTAGGACATCTACTTTGTGCATGACACAAGTAATTTTTTCCAACAATTGTTTACAGACAGATTATTTCACTTATAATTCACTGTATCACAATTCCAGTGGGTCGGAAGTTTACATACAGTGAGCGAAAAAAGTATTTGATCCCCTGCTGATTTTGTACGTTTGCCCACTGACAAAGAAATGATCAGTCTATCATTTTAATGGTAAGTTTATTTGAACAGTGAGAGACAGAATAACAACAAAAAAATCAAGAAAAACGCATGTCAAAATGTTATAAATTGATTTGCATTTTAATGAGGGAAATAAGTATTTGAACCCCTCTCAATCAGAAAGATTTCTGGCTCCCAGGTGTCTTTTATTCAGGTAACGAGCTGAGATTAGGAGCACACTCTTAAAGGGAGTGTTCTTAATCTCAGCTTGTTACCTGTATAAAAAACACCTGTCCACTTAAGCAATCAGTCAATCAGATTCCAAACTCTCCACCATGGCCAAGACCAAAGAGCTCTCCAAGGATGTCAGGGACAAGATTGTAGACCTACGCAAGGCTGGAATGGGCTACAAGACCATCGCCAAGCAGCTTGGTGAGAAGGTGACAACAGTTGGTGCGATTATTCGCAAATGGAAGAAACACAAAATAACTGTCAATCTCCCTCTGCCTGGGGCTCCATGCAAGATCTCACCTCGTGGAGTTGCAATGATCATGAGAACGGTGAGGAATCAGCCCAGAACTACATGGGATGATCTTGTCAATGATCTCAAGGCAGCTGCAGATGTTTTTCTGCTAAGGGGACAGGACAACTTCACCGCATCAAAGGGACGATGGACGGGGCCATGTACCGTCAAATCTTGGGTGAGAACCTCCTTCCCTCAGCCAGGGCATTGAAAATGGGTCGTGGATGGGTATTCCAGCATGACAATGACCCAAAACACACGGCCAAGGCAACAAAGGAGTGGCTCAAGAAGAAGCACATTAAGGTCCTGGAGTGGCCTAGCCAGTCTCCAGACCTTAATCCCATAGAAAATCTGTGGAGGGAGCTGAAGGTTCGAGTTGCCAAACGTCAGCCTGGAAACCTTAATGACTTGGAGAAGATCTGCAAAGAGGAGTGGAACAAAATCCCTCCTGAGATGTGTGCAAAGCTGGTGGCCAACTACAAGAAACGTCTGACCTCTGTGATTGCCAACAAGGGTCAAATACTTATTTCCCCATTAAAATGCAAATCAATTTATAACATTTTTGACATGTGTTTTTCTGGATTTTTTGTTGTTGTTATTCTGTCTCTCACTGTTCAAATAAACCTACCATTAAAATTATAGACTGATAATTTCTTTGTCAGTGGGCAAATGTACAAAATCAGCAGGGGATCAAATACTTTTTTCCCTCACTGTACACTAAGTTGACTGTGCCTTTTAAACAGCTTGGAAAATTCCAGAAAATGATGTCATGGCTTTAGAAGCTTCTGATAGGCTAATTTACATCATTTGAGTCAATTGGAGGTGTACCTGTGGATGTATTTCAAGGCCTACCTTCAAACTCTGTGCCTCTTTGCTTGACATCATGGGAAAGTCAAAATAAATCAGCCAAGACCTCAGAAAAAAATTGTAGACCTCCACAAGTCTGGTTCATCCTTGGGAGCAATTTCCAAACGCCTGAAGGTACCACGTTCATCTGTACAAACAATAGTATGCAAGTATAAACACCATGGGACCACGCAGCTGTCATACCGCTCAGGAAGGAGATGCATTCTGTCTCCTAGAGATGAACGTACTTTGGTGCGAAAAGTGCAAATCAATCCCAGAATAACAGCAAATTACCTTGTGAAGATGCTGGAGGAAACGGGTACACAAGTATCTATATCCACAGTAAAACAAGTCCTATATCGACATAACCTGAAAGGTTGCTCAGCAAGGAAGAAGCCATTGCTCCAAAACCGCCATAAAAAATCCAGACTACGGTTTGCAACTGCACATGGGGACAAAGATCGTACTTTTTGGAGAAATGTCCTCTGGTCTGATTAAACAAAAATAGAGCTGTTTGGCCATAATGACCATCGTTATCTTTGGAGGAAAAAGGATGTGGCTTGCAAGCCGTAGAACACCATCCCAACCATGAAGCACGGGGGTGGCAGCATCATGCTGTGGGGGTGCTTTGCTGCAGGAGGGACTGGTGCACTTCACAAAATAGATGGCATCATGAGGAAGGATAATTATGTGGATATATTGAAGCAACATCTCAAGACATCAGTCAGTAAGTTAAAGCTTGGTCGCAAATGGGTCTTCCAAATGGACAATGACCCCAAGCATACTTCCAAAGTTGTGGCAAAATGGCTTAAGGACAACAAAGTCAAGGTATTGGAGTGGCCATCACAAAGCCCTGACCTCAATCCTATAGAAAATGTGTGGGCAGAACTGAAAAAGCGTGTGCGAGCAAGGAGGCCTACAAACCTGACTCAGTTACACTCTGTCAGGAGGAATGGGCCAAAATTCACCCAACTTATTGTGGGAAGCTTGTGGAAGGCTACCCGAAACATTTGACCCAAGTTAAACAATTTAAAGGCAATACTACCAAATACTAATTGAGTGTATGTAAACTTCTGACCCACTGGGAATGTGATGAAAGAAATAAAAGCTGAAATAAATAATTCTCTCTACTATTATTCTGACATTTCACATTCTTAAAATAAAGTGGTGATCCTAACTGACCTAAGACAGGGTATTTTTACTAGGATTAAATGTCAGGAATTGTGAAAAACTGAGTTTAAATGTATTTGGCTAAGGTGTATGTAAACTTCCGACTTCAACTGTAAGTATGGCGATAATATCGTATTGTGAGGTCCCAGGCAATGTACTGTACTGTAAACGGGTGTATTAGTACAGCGTTTCCCAAACTCGGTCCTGCCCGCCCCTGGGTGCATGTTTTGGTTTTTGCCCTAGCACTACACAGCTGATTCAAATAACCAAAGCTTGATGATGAGTTAATTATTTGAATTGGCTGTGTAGTGCTAGAGCAAAGAACAAAATGTGCACCCCTTGGGGTCCCCTGGTCTGAGTTTAGGAAACCCTGTCTCTTTTCTTACCAGTCTTCCTAAGGAGGGCAAGAGGAATGTCCTAGTGACCAGCGCCTTGCCTTACGTCAACAACGTCCCTCATCTGGGGAACATCATTGGCTGTGTGCTCAGCGCTGATGTCTATGCCAGGTAGATAACACAACACTCTACACTCTACTCTACTCTACACTACACTACTCTACTCTACTCTACTCTACTCTACACTACTCTACTCTACTCTACTCTACACTACTCTACTCTACTCTACTCTACTCTACTCTACACTACTCTACTCTACTCTACACTACTCTACTCTACTCTACTCTACTCTACTCTACTCTACTCTACTCTACTCTACTCTACTCTACACTCTACTCTACACTACTCTACACTACACTACTCTACACTACTCTACACTACTCTACTCTACTCTACACTACTCTACACTACTCTACTCTACTCTACACTACTCTACTCTACTCTACTCTACACTACTCTACTCTACTCTACACTACTCTACTCTACTCTACTCTACACTACTCTACTCTACTCTACTCTACTCTACACTACTCTACTCTACACTACTCTACTCTACTCTACACTCTACACTACTCTACACTACTCTACTCTACACTACACTACTCTACTCTACTCTACTCTACTCTACTCTACTCTACTCTACTCTACTCTACTCTACTCTACCTACTCTACACTACACTACACTACACTCCCTACACTCTCCTCTCCTCTCCTCCCTCCTCTCCTCTCCTCTCCTCTCCTCTCCTCTCCTCTCCTCTCCTCTCCTCTCCTCTCCTCTCCTCTCCTCTCCTCTCCTCTCCTCTCCTCTCCTCTCCTCTCCTCTCCTCTCCTCTCCTCTCCTCTCCTCCTCCTCTCCTCTCCTCTCCTCTCCTCTCCTCTCCTCTCCTCTCCTCTCCTCTCCTCTCCTCTCCACTCCACTCCACTCCACTCCACTCCACTCCACTCCACTCCACTCCACTCCAATCTCCCTTCTCTGATCTTGTCCTAACAGAGCCTCTTTTTGTGTTTATCTTTCTATCTCTTGCTCTCTCCTCTCTCTGTTTATCACTTACACATTCATTCCCTCCCTCTCCCCCCCTCCCCCTCCCTCCTCCCTCCCTCCCCCAGGTATGGTCGTCTGCGTGGTTGGAACGTGCTGTATGTGTGTGGGACTGATGAGTACGGCACCGCTACAGAGAACAAGGCCCGTGAGGAAGGTCTGACACCACAGCAGATCTGTGATAAGTACCATGCTGTCCACGCCTCCATCTACCAGTGGTTCCAGGTCGACTTCGACTTCTTTGGCCGCACCACCACAAAGAAACAGACTGAGTGAGTACCAGTAGTAGAACTCCATGTTCATCTTTGGATTATATAGGAGGATTCAGCACCTGATCTAAGTCTATACACTGAGTGTCCAAAACATTAGGAACACCTGCTCTTTCCATGACATAGACTGACCAGGTGAATCCAGGTGAAAGCTATGATCCCTTACACTTGTTAAATCCACTTCAATCAGTGTAGATGAAGGGGAAGAGACAGGTTAAAGAAGGATTTTTAAGCCTTGAGACAATTGAGACATGGATTGTGTATGTGTGCCATTCAGAGGGTGAATGGGCAAGACAAAAGATTTAAGTGCCTTTGAACGGGGTATGGTGGGGGGGGGGGGGGGGGGGGGGGGGAGTGTGGTAGCTAGACATGGTACATACATTGGGAATGTGGGAGCCAGACATGGTACATACATGGGGAATACATTGGGAGTGTGGTAGCTAGACATGGTACATACATTGGGAGTGTGGTAGCTAGACATGGTACATACATTGGGAGTGTGGTAGCTAGACATGGTACATACATTGGGAGTGTGGGAGCTAGACATGGTACATACATTGGGAGTGTGGTAGCAAGACATGTTAAAGGGGGCTGAAACACGGCTTCTGCTTCTGCTGTTAAAACATGGATTGAACATATCAAAACTGTTGTGTGAGTTCATTTTCTTCAGGGTTTGTACGGGTGCTTGAAAACCTTGAAAGTGCTTGAATTTTATTTGTGAATAAGTGCATGAACCCTGTTCCTTCTCTATCTCTCTCTCAGGATAGCCCAGAACATCTTCTGGCGTCTCCATGAGCGAGGCTTCCTACTTGAAGACATTGTGGAGCAGCTGCGCTGCGAGGCTTGCCAGCGTTTTCTAGCTGACCGCTTCGTGGAGGGAACATGTCCCTTCTGTTCTTACCCAGAGGCACGAGGGGACCAGTGTGACAAGTGTGGCAAGCTTATCAACGCTGTGGAGCTACGGGTGAGTGGATGGAGAGACCTTTTATTTGGGGCACGTTCCACAGCTAAGGAGAGACGACGCAACAACCAATGGTTACGTGCCATGTCATCGCCTGGCAGATTGCTATAACATATGATGTGGTTACCTGAGTGTACTCCCGAGTGGCGCAGTGGTCTAAGGCACTGCATCGCAGTGCTAGCTGTGTCACTAGAGATCCTGGTTCTAATCCAGGCTCTGTCGTAGCCGGCCGCGACCGGGAGACCCATGGGGCGGCGCACAATTGGCCCAGCGTCGTCCATGGTAGGGGAGGGAATGGCCGGCTGGGATGTAGCTCAGTTGGTAGAGCATGGCGTTGTGGGTTGTGGGTTTGATTCCCACGGGGGGCTAGTATAAAAATAATAATAATAAAATAATAAAATAATGTATGCACTCACTAACTGTAAGTCGCTCTGGATAAGAGCGTCTGCTAAATGACTAAAATGTAAATGTAAAATGTTACCTGATACTTAAAATACCTATCCAGGCATTGTAAGATCTGTCAGGCGTCAGCAATGTGTAAGCTCTGGAACGCGGCCATTATCTATCATCAATCAATTAATCAATCAATGGAGTTTACCTGATCCAGCCAGACCTGGGTTGAATACTTTCAAATACTTTTGCTGCACTTGGTTTAGTTTTCCTGGTACAATGGAAGGAACCAATGGAATAGTCCCAAACGTCTGAACCCATTATGAGACAACATCAAGGAGACTGTAGCTAAGAATGAAAAGACAACGTCAAGGAGACTGTAGCTAAGAATGAAAAGACAACGTCAAGGAGACTGTAGCTAAGAATGAAAAGACAACGTCAAGGAGACTAACTAAGAATGAAAAGACAACGTCAAGGAGACTAACTAAGAATGAAAAGACAACGTCAAGGAGACTAACTAAGAATGAAAAGACAACGTCAAGGAGCCTGTAACTAAGAATGAAAAGACAACGTCAAGGAGACTAACTAAGAATGAAAAGACAACGTCAAGGAGACTAACTAAGAATGAAAAGACAACGTCAAGGAGCCTAACTAAGAATGAAAAGACAACGTCAAGGAGGCTGTAACTAAGAATGAAAAGACAACGTCAAGGAGTCTGTAGCTAAGAATGAAAAGACAACGTCAAGGAGACTAACTAAGAATGAAAAGACAACGTCAAGGAGACTAACTAAGAATGAAAAGACAACGTCAAGGAGACTAACTAAGAATGAAAAGACAACGTCAAGGAGACTGTAGCTAAGAATGAAAAGACAACGTCAAGGAGACTGTAACTAAGAATGAAAAGACAACGTCAAGGAGACTGTAGCTAAGAATGAAAAGACAACGTCAAGGAGACTGTAACTAAGAATGAAAAGACAACGTCAAGGAGACTGTAGCTAAGAATGAAAAGACAACGTCAAGGAGGCTGTAACTAAGAATGAAAAGACAACGTCAAGGAGGCTGTAACTAAGAATGAAAAGACAACGTCAAGGAGACTGTAGCTAAGAATGAAAATCCACACAAACTTTTCTGAGGATGACCAGATTTAGTGTAGGAGGAATTCTATAGCCTACTAATATTTCAATCACAATGACTCAATGAACCGAGCGACTCATCCACATTCTATCCGTCCCAAGCGGAACCAAAATGTCAATAACACCTATCGTTTAATTAGCATCACTCTGCTTGGCCAAAACAATAGAACAAAATGTATAAAACTTCACAATCTAATCAACACAATGATAGGAGCGCACATCTGGGCTGTTCCCGCTTTGAAATGAAATGACGCACAGCAACTCTGTAAAGAGAAATCCACGTACAGTAAAGACATCAAAATGTTCATCTGTTTATGAGCGATTGAAGGAATACAAACATGACAATTACATTCATATGGTTACATTCATTTAGTAAATTCAAGTTTCATCAGTCTTCACACCTCTGAGGGCGTCAGTAACCCCGGGGCGCCGTGGGAACGTCCCACCCCGGAGGCGCCAGCAAGTCGCCGACGCAAGGGTCACCCTCTTTCCCACTACAAGGCCTTAGTGATGTGACCTCTCTCCTTCTCCTCCGGCTACAAAGGCCTATAGTGGATGTGACATCTCTCTCGCTCCACTACAAAGGCCTTAGTGATGTGGACCCTCTCTCCTCCTTCCCCTACAAGAGCCTTAGTGATGTGGACCTCTCTCTCCTCTCTCTTCCATCCGCTACAAGCCTTAGTGATGTGACCTCTCCTCCTCCTCCCGCTAGCAAGGCCTTAGTGATGTGACCTCTCTCTCCTCCACTAAAGGCCTTAGTGATGTGACCACCAGGTACTCTCTCCTCCACTACAAGGCCTTAGAGTTACCCCCCCACTACAAGCCTTGTGATGACCTCTCTCCTCCACTACAAGGCCTTAGTGATGTGACCTCTCTCTCCTCCACTACAAGGCCTTAGTGATGTGACCTCTCTCTCCTCCACTACAAGGCCTTAGTGATGTGACCTCTCTCTCCTCCGCTACAAGGCCTTAGTGATGTGACCTCTCTCTCCTCCACTACAAGGCCTTAGTGATGTGACCTCTCTCTCCTTTTCCCATTTACAAGGCTTAGTGTGTACCTCTCTCCTCCCTAAAAAGGGCCCTTTATGTGTGACCTCTCCCCCTCCTCCACTACAAGGCCTTATGATGTAAACCTCTCTCTCCTCCGCTACAAGGCGTAGTGGATGTGACCCCCCTTTTCCCCTTTCCACTACAAGGCCTTAGTGATGTAAACCTCTCTCTCCTCCTACAAGGCTTAGTGTGTTTGTGACCTCTCTCTCCTCCACTACAAGGCCTTAGTGGGATGTGACCTCTCTCTCCTCTCTCCCTCTGCTACAACCTTATGATGTACCTCTTTTCTTCCATAAAGGCTTGTGGGATTGGGGGACTTTCTTTCACTAAAGGTTGTGAGTGTGAACCCTTTCTCCCCCATAAAGCCTTAGGGGGATTGTGAACTCTTCTCTCCTTTACAAGGCCTTTTGGGGGTGTTTTGTGACTTCTCTTCCTCCACTACAAGGCCTTAGTGATGTGACCCTCTTTTCTCCTCCGCTACAAGGCCTTAGTGATGTGACCTCTCTCCCCTCCACACAGGCCTTAGTGAGGGTGACCTCCTTCCCTCCCCCTCCTCTCCTCCCTGCTACAAGGCCTTAGTGATGTGATCTCTCTCTCCTCCGCTACAAGGCCTTAGTGATGTGACCTCTCTCTCCTCCCTCTCCGCAGGAGCCTACATGTAAGGTGTGTAGTCAAATCCTTTTTTAAAATTCAAAATGTTCCAACCCCAAACCCCCTGTTCCATCCCGGGATGCAACCAAGTCCATTTTTCAAAGTAAATTTTATAGTTTAAATAAGGGCTAATTTTCCCCAACCAAGATTTAGTGTTTAAACTAAGGTGTTTTCACTCTCCCTCCTAAACCTCCCCCTTTTTCCCCGGGCCTTTGGGGGGGGGTCGCGGGGCCAAAGGCCGGCTTGGGGCCCCGGAAGGGCCAAAAGTAAGAAAGCAAAAGGGAAAACCCAAAAGGAAAAAAGGAAAAGGTGGGGAAAGGGGGAGGGGGGGGAAAAAGTGAAATGGCCCCCTTTTCCCCTTCTCCTTCCCTCTCTCCTCTCTCCCTTCTCTCTTCTCCTCTCTCCCTTTTCCTTCCTCTCTTCCCTCTCCTCTCCTTCCTTCCCCCCTCGGGCCTCCCCTTCTCTCCCCCCTTTCCCCTCTCCTCTCTCTCTCTCCCCTCTTCCCTTTGCCTCTCTCTTTTCCCCCCCTTCCTCCTTTCTGCCCTTTGCCGTTCCCGGCCCGCCCCTTCCCCGGCCAGCCCCGGCCTCTTACCCCACCCCGGGCCCCCCCCCCCTTTTCCCTCTCCCCTTTTAAATCCAGGGTCCTTTAAGGGGGGTGATTTGGGCCAACTGGGGCAGGGGCCCCCCCCGAACCTGGCGAACCCAAAAACCCATCACCGGCCTGGGTGGGGAGGCCCCGGTGAGGGGGGGGGGGGCCCGGGGGGGGTGGTGGGGGGTCAATTAGATGCCCCTCTTTTTTTCCCCCCCCTCATTCCCAATCCCCTCGCCCCCCCCCCCCCCAAACCTTTTTTCCCCTTTCCCCTAACCCCTCTATTTGCCCCCCCCCTTTCCTTTTTTTCCCCAACCCCCCAAAAATACCCCATCTCTCTCTCTTTCCTCTCTCCTTCCCTCCTCTTTTTCCTTTTTTCTTTTTTGGGTTTGGTGTCTCTTTGGTCCTCCTCCCCAAACTCACTGACCAAGGGAAGGGGGAAAACCAGCGAACAGGGTCTCCCATTCCCATCATCCTTTTTTGTGATGTTTTCCCCCGGCTTGCCCTTCTCACAAAGTCCTTTAAACCGTGGAAACCCCCAAGCTAGTTTCAGTTAGCATCATGGGTCTCTTTAACCAGTGATCAACTTCCCACTAACTTCAGTTCTAACAGCCACCCGTTTTTTTACCAGTGGTCAACTCCTCCCATTAAAGGGTGGCCCCTATCCCATTTTTAGGATTAGTTTGCCATTTTTCCGCCTAGCCCCAAAATTCAATGTTTGGAGGGTTTCCCATTAAAACCTTCGGGAATTGAGCCACCCAACAATTGCTGTATTCGGACGTTTGGTCGTAGGGTGAAGGGGGAGCTTGGGTTAGCTAGAGGTTGTTACCATTTAAATTTCGAATCCGTTTCGGCCCTTTTAGTGTGGGTAAAAGGGTAATTAATATAATTTTGAAAATGTTAGAGTTAAGTTAAAAGTAATTTTATCACATTCTTTCTTTTTGGGTATAACCTTGTTGATTTGGTTCCTTTTTTTTTAAAAAAAAAGGCGGTGAGGGGTGTATTGGCCAATTCATTTAAGGAAGGGGTGTTTTAGACTAAAAGGGGGCCTGGTACCTTAACCGGGTTTGGATATTTAAAACCCTAG